ATTGAATCAGCAGGAATTGCGTCTGATAATAGTACGATTATATTTTCAGGAACCAGCCAAGCAACCCCTCATGGTTTGTAATTAAAAAAATATTCTATTAAACTAAGTTTTTGCAAGTAGAATCTATCCTAAATTTTTTTCTATTAATTAGTTACAGGAATGATAACTTTGATAATTGCAACAAGTGGAAATTTACCTCCAGATCAAATGAGTGCTGCTATTGATAAATTAGCAACACCAGATGTAGTTACTGGTAATATTCAGGGTTCGCCAAATAAATTTGTACGTGTTCCGTTCTGTACTCAATCCCAAAAAGGTCCAAAAGAAACTCATTCCCCAAAAAGTCCAAAAGATAAAAAATATCATCATTAACTCTAAGAAATAATCAAATTGAGGTTTTATTACTTTTACATTAGTAATTCTTTATCAGTTATAGAAGTTTGTGTTCGAATAGTCTATATAGTAGAAACTTTTTAATAATTTAGTATATAATCCTGAAATTTTAATATAATCCTTAATATAAGAAGTCTAAAATATTTTAAATCACGAAGATTTTCTAGAAATGTTAATTAGACCATAAACTAATTTGTTTCACAATAGAAATTATCCTTCTTATTTCTTTCATATATTATATAGAGCTAGCCTATAATATACAGGTGTTTAATAAAATATAAATTCACATTGAAAGAATTGTTCGAAGGCAATTTCTATTTGTACACGGGGTATATGCAGTGTTCGAAATTAAGTTCTCATGAGAACACCATTATGAATTTGTGCACAGTACAAATTTCTAATAAAATTTTTTGTGAACAGTAAAATAATAAGAGTGTTCTCATCTAAAATATGTGAATTGGAACCGCCTTAAATTTTCTAATCGATTAACCGTTTAACCATGCTAATTGCTGGCATTAAATTTGGCTCATTACCAATGTAATTCATGTTGGAATTATAAAACAATCTTTACGCAGTTAAACAGTTCCAATTCTTACTATAATATGTATTTTCTATTATAGTTTTTTTGTTTT